TCCCTCTCTCTCTGACCCTCCCCTGCTCATGCTGTCTCTATCTCTCTCTCAAAAATAAATAAAACATTAAAGAAAAATAAGTAAACATTTTTTAAAAATGGGCAGGGGCACCTGGGTGGCTCAATTGGTTAAGTGTCTGACTTTGGCTCAGGTCATGATCTCGCGATTCATGAGCTGGAGCCCTACATCGGGCACTGTGCTGACAGCTCAGAGTCTGGAGCCTGCTTCAAAATATGTCTCCCTCTGTCTCTGCCCCTCCCCTGCTCACAATCTGTCTGTCTCTCAAAAATGAATAAATGTTAAGAAAAAAAATATGTAAAAATTGGCAAAGGACTTGAATAAATTTTTCTCCAATGAAGATATACAAATGGTCAATAAATACATGAAGAGATGCTCTGCATCATTAATCCTTAGGAAAATGCAAATCAAAACCACAATGCAATACCATTTCATACCAGTTAGGATGATTACTCTAAAAGAAAAAATTCCCCCCTCTAAACACAACAAAAAATAAAAAGTCTTTGCTTGAGGATGTGGAGAAATTGGAACCCTTGAACACTGCTGGCAGGAATGTAAAATGGGGCAACCGCTGCTGTGAAAAAAAAGCATGGTGCTCAATCCCACTTCAGAGTATATACCCAAAAGAACTGAAATCAGGGTCTCAAAGAGACATTTGTATACTCATGTTCATAGTAGCATTATTCACAATAACTAAAAGGTGAGAGCAATCCAATTATTCATTGATGGATAAGTAGGTAAACAGAATGTGGTATATACATACAATGTAACATTATTCAGGCTTTAAAAGGAAGGCAATTCTGACACATGCTACAACATGGATAGAACTTGAAGACATTACGGTAAGTGAAATAAACCAGACACAAAAAGACAAATATTATATGATTCAATTTACACGAAGTACCAGAATAAACAAATTAAGAGACAAAGTATAATGGTGGTTGCTCAGGGGCAGTGGAGTCTCTGAGAAGTGATGGGGAGTTATTATTTAATGGGTACAGAATTTCAGTTTTGCAAAATGAAAAAAGTTCTAGAGATGGATGGTGGTGACACAACATAATTAGTGCAACTGAGCTGTACACTTAAAAATAGTTAAAACGGGGGGGGGGGGCGCCTGGGTGGCTCAGCTGGTTAAGCATCTGACTTCAGCTTAGGTAATGATCTGGTGTGGGGTCTGTGGTTTGAGCCCCTGCATTAGGCTCTTTGTTGACAGCTCAAATCCTGGAGCCTGCTTCGGATTCTGTGTCTCCTTCTCTCTCTCTGCCCCTCCTTCACTCCCACTCTCTCTCTCTATGTCTCTCAAAAATAAACAAACATTAAAAAATTTTTAAAAATAGTTAAAATGGTATATTTTATATTATGTATTTTATCAGAATTAGAAAAAAATGGCTAGCTGAATGAACGGTGGTTGTCACTGAACTTTTCAGAATCCTATCCTTTTATTCAACAAAAGTCCTGATGATGATGCTAAATGAACTTACTTGTATGCCAGTGCTCCAGCAAAGTGCTTCTGGATGTATGTGTCCATTACAGGCCGGAAGTGGAAATACTTGATGTCTCTGAGCAGGTTGATGATGAATACCTGAAGGAGATGTAGGATACCAGAGTTCACTGGAGACCTTGGACTTATCCCCAGCAGAAAACAGAACTCTTGTTTCTTTAAGAAATGAAAAACTGTTGGTATTTTCTCTAGTGTTTTCCAAGGGCAGAGAATGTAAGATTTCTATTCTATGCCTGTATTTCTGCCTTGTCTGCTCTATTCCCACAGCCCCTGGCCACCCAGTCTGGACTTGGGGGTCATCTGTCTGTGCTAGTGTCACTCTGTGCCTCTCACTTCATAATAACGCTGGGTGACACAATACAGACTAGGAAAAGGCAAAACGATACCTGTGTAAGGTGGCATACATTCTAAGGTGTCTCAAAAAAATTGGAAAGGAGAGAAAAAAAAGATTGTACTCTGAGCCAGATTAGCCTATAAAAGGCTGTGCTCTTCAGAAATGGGACTGGCTGGCCAAGGAAGCAAGGAAGAAAAGCCAGAGGGGCAATCTGTGCAAGGGTCATTTTAACTCTTGCCTCTGCTCCTCATCTATCAGGTAGACTTACAGTATGTGGTTCTTGAATATACAGCACTCCTATGGGATTGGATATATTAAGCAAAATGAACTGAAAATTCAAATCACTCTACATTCTCACTAAGCAACCTACAGAGATTCTGGTTCCCAAACAACTGCACAAAGGGAGAGATGCTTAGACCAGCACTGATGAGTCTCTGCTCTGTCTGGCAGTTATATCTTATTTTGTAGGTGAAAAAACAGGTCATCTGGTTTCTTCTATTAGTCTCTGAGCCTTTTGTTGGTATAGGTCTCTATTTCAGGAGCTAGACAACTCTGCAACAGTGATGAGACTGAGGTATCAGAACTGCAAAGTTGAGGCCCGAGCCTGACCATGTTGAATTCTTCAAATTTGATGCTGTAGGGATCTGCCCAGTAGGTAGGTTGGTTGGTCTTCCTTGGGTGATACTCCTCAGCCACTTTTCTACTGGAAACATCTGTACCTTGTGCTGACTCACTCTAATAAATTGCTTCTCTTGGATTTATAAAAACATATGACATGGGTGTTGGGTGGCTCAGTCAGTTGAGCGTCCGATTTCAGCTCAGGTCATGATCTCCCGGTAAGTGGGTTCGAGCCCCACGTCAGGCTCTGCGCTGACAGCTGGCTCAGAGCCTGGAGCCTGTTTCAGATTCTGTGTCTCCCTCTCTCTCTGACCCTCCCCTGTTCATACTGTCTCTCTCTCTCTCTCAGAAATAAATAAAAACATATGACAGAAATAACTAATAACAATGAAAAGTCAGCAGGCGTGAGACTTACCAAAGACTGAAACACCAGGAGGCCATATTTCTCTGTATTATCATCCAAAATCACAAAGAGTGTATCTAAGATGTCCTGCAGAAACTGCAACATAAAAACCAGGGGGCTCAGATCTTAGGACCTTGAAACCATGGTCAAACTTCCATACACCAATGAATTCATCTCCTAATAAACAAACTCAAAGATCTCCTAAGAACTCAAACCACCACTTAAAATTAATCTAGTATCCCATCCCACTTCCACCTAGCTAAGGGGTAACTAGGTGGACTTTGGGTATTTGCTTATATCCCAAAGGGCCTTGAGAGATATTTGGAGAGGCTCTTTCTCCTGGGTAAGTGTAAAACTTCTACGGAAAGAAAGAAGTTACCTAAAATACAAAGGACATCCATGGTGTAGAATTGTAATTTTGAAATAAAATCAATCTAAGTGATTATGATACCAAATTCATTTTGAGAAAAAGAGTTCACTTTCCTGGGACCCCAAAGAGTTTAGTAATCCATCACTCTTTATTGTGGCCTAAATCTTAGAGGGCATTTGAATGAGGGTGTGGCATGGTAGGCTAGGTTTTAACTACAGACACCATGTTTTGGTCTAGAAATCAATATTCTGGGAGAAGGGAGAAAGCTGCTGCTGAGGGCTGTCAATGAAGGTAAAAGATCTGAAAGCCATTTTGTTTTTGTTTTTTGGTTTTAACATATGCCTTTTTCTTCCTAAGATGCAAAATCTAAGGGAAAGAATAATACTCAAGGATACTGACAGTCTTTCAAAATAAAATCTAACATTCTGTTGGTCAAAAGGCAATTGAATGATACAAGGTTTACAACGTAATTATTTTAAATATAATTTATTGTCAAACTGGCTAACATACAGTGTGTAGTGTGCTCTTGGTTTTTGGGGTAGATTCCCATGGTTCATTCCTTACATACAACACCCAGTCCTCATCCCAACAATTGTCCTCCTCAATGCCCATCACCCATTTCCCCCTCTCCCCCATGCCCCTCATCCACCCTCAGTTTCTTCTCTATATTTAAGTGTCTCTTATGATTTGCCTCCCTCCGTCTCTGTTTGTAACTATTTTTTCCCCTTCCCTTCCCCCATAGTCTTCTGTTAAGTTTCTCAAGATCCACCTAGGAGTGAAAACATGATATCTGTCCTTCTCTGACTTACTTCACTCAGCATAATACCTTCCAGTTCCATTCACGTTGCTGCAAATGGCATGATTTCATTCTTTCTCTTTGCCAAGTTACAGCTTATTTTAAAACAAGTCTCTTAAATACTGAGAACAAACTGAGGGTTGATGGGGAGTGGGGAAGAGGGGAAAGTGGGTGATGGGCACTGAGGAGGGCACTTGTTAGGATGAGCACTGGGTGTTGTAAGGAAACCAATTTGACAATAAATTATATTCAAAAAATAAATAAAACAAGTCTAAGGTGGAAGGTTTGGATGGCAGTGTTGATGGGCAGGATCACCCCATAGGGTGACGACTGTTGGTGCTAGGTGACAGATACACGTAGGGCTCTTTATACTATTTTGTTTTGTGTGTGTTTGAAATATTCTAATAAAAAATAAAAATAAAATTTTAAAATGCTAGCAGATTCTTTTCACACTCTCTTCTGGTGGTTTGAGGTCAATTATTGATGCTAAAAGCAGATATGCTCATAAGACAGTCTCTTATCAGGAATACAATACTACTCAGCTTCAAAAAGATCAGACGTTGGGGTACCTGGGTGGCTCAGTCAAGGTTAAGTGTCTGACTCTTGATTTTTGCTTAGGTCCTGATCTTAGGGTTGAGAGATTGAGCCCTGTGTTGGGCTCCATGCCGGGCATGGAGCCTGCTTAAGATTCTCTCTCTTCCTCTGCCCCTCCCCCAACTCATGTTTGCTTGCTCTCTCTCTCTCTCTCTCAAAAAAAATCATAGACTTTTCGTAATACCTTGCCTGATAATTGATATTTTTAATATGTTTATTTTATTTTTGTTTTTTAATTAAAATACAGTGCAATACTGAATATATTTAGAAGAAAAATATGCCCTGAGAATAAACTGATCTTAAGCTTCAAAAACTAATATTAGCTTGTTTAAGAGTTTTTTTTTTAAATTTATGATATCTGATTAACTGATTTAAACAAAATTCAGATGAAACTTCATAAAAATACACAGATGTATACAGACTTTAAAATTGTTTCTCATTTGGAGACATGTTGTGTGTTACTGAGTCAATGGAGCTGTAAAATGAAAGTACAGATAGGGTATCTTTGCTAATTTATTTGATAATTATAATGACAGAGCTAAGAATGCTCACTGATGACAAGCTGCCTTCCTGAAATTTAGTGTCTATTCTATATTCCACTGGTCTTGTTGATCATCAAAAGCACCTCCACTTTCCTCAGCAGACTTCAGTCCATTGTGCAGAATCCCACAGGGCTTCTGCAGGGCTTTCACAATCAGGAGGTGCCTGGGAGTTTTCTTGAGCTAAACTGGGTGGACAGAGAAGCCTTACAGAAGACAAATGGGGACTGGTAGTGCTGCTGTCAGCCTGCCCAGGCCACAGATGGAAAATGTCACAAAGGTACCTAGAGAAAGCAGCTGAGGCAGGAAGTAGGGAAGGGTCTCTGGTATGGACTGTAAGTGAGAGACTGGGCAAAAACAGCAGCTACAAGTTAATGGAGAGCATTTAGAGTTCTTTTAGATAATCAAGTGAGTAGAGCCAGAAAGACTTCAGGCCAGGTTTGTGGTAAAAGGGTTAAAATAAGGAAAATGAGAAAGAGACCTAAGGAAGGAAGAGGAAGCAGCACAAAGCACAGGGTGTATTTCTAATTATTGTTTTACTTTCCAGGAAGAAAAACAAGTCAGAAAATAGGATTTAAAACTTAGTTTCTAAAAGGTAGTAAACCTGATGTACCTACTTTAAAAAAAGAAGCTAACTGAAAAAAGAAAAAGAAAAAGAACTCTAGTCCTACTCATCTAATTATATTTTGAGAAATGGTCTTAGAGACATACTGGTAGAAATCAAGGTGAAGTAAGACCTTCTTCCCAGATTCTTACTTAGGTAGCATTTATGAATTACAGGAAGTCATACCTTAACAATTTCTTCTCCACTGACATGCCGCAGCCGCCCTAGTATGTCCATGATCCGGTCTGGAAAAGCCTTCCATTTCAGCAGAGCAAGGAGGTCCACTACAAAGCAAGCCCCAAAGATAGGGAACACTGGCTATGCCAAGGACACGTAAAAAGCCCAGACTCTCCCTGCCAAGGACAGGTGGAATCTGGAGGAAGAGAAGTAGCTTCAAACATTACAACAGCCTCTTTAGTGCTGACATCAAGGCCAAAGATACATCTGTGAAATCTGAAACTCTGGGGCTAATAAAACCATGAGAAACCTTACAGGCTGCTATTACCAAGTGGTTTCTTCAACTTCAGATGAAACTAATGCCTTCACTGTGGCATGAAACAGCAGTTGATTTCTGTCTCCCTTAGCATGCATCAGCAACATGGAAACAGTCACTGATGACAGGGAAGGCAGCACCCTGCAGGTACCATCACCTACCATTCTGGGTGAGTTTGGTGGAGGAGAGCTGTGTGGAAATGAAGAAAGACTCTTTGGTGCTGCGCTGGAAGATGAGGCTGGAGGGGATGTTAGGGCAGCCATTGTAGTCCTCTTTGCAGCAGGGCAAGCCCAGGTACAGAGCATGGTTGTTAAATGTGCTATTCTCATCACACTGTAGGCAAAGGTAGAGAACACAGAATGTTTCCTGAACCATGTCATGTGCAAAGCTCAGGTCACAGGTTTTTTGATGTTGATGTTTGCTTTCCTCTTCCTGAGGCCAGATCTTGGGCCTCAGGTCCTCTTAGAAGAGTGGTTTCTGTTCAGAAACTCCCCAGAATGGCTCACACACCTTTTAAAGAGAACATGATGGGGCAGGTGGCCTCCATGTGCTGTGGAGGCAACTTTGGGTGGCAACTGTGCTGTGATAGCTGACAAAACCGTGATCTCAAATGGCAGGTCTCTGAATGTACTAGTCAATGGCACGAAGGAGCTGGTAGTAGGCTTCCATTACTTGTGGAGTGGGAGGTGGGGGACAAAGGACCTGCTGGCATTACTTGTGGGAGGAAGGCCACTATAGTTACAAGTCAAAAGCTTGCCCACAGCTGTCCTGCTGTCATCCACCAGCATACTACCTTGGATCTTTTGGCCTGCCCACTGAAAGCCGCCTGACTCAGAACCATATGTGAGAGTGGCCTCAGGAGTGTGAGGGCTGAGGTGAGAGACAGCCAGCCTCCATACCTTGTACACATAGAGCTCATGGATGTCATCTGAGAGAGTGGTGCCATCATCCCGCATCAGGGGTGAGAATGCAAAGCCAAAGAGTTTCTTTTCCCCTTTGTCCTTTGCTGCAACCAGAGCTAAGTGTTAGTTGTTTTTGATCCCCGCTTTGCATTTTAACAGAAATTCCCCTTGTGCTTATCACTTACATTCTTTACTTCTTTGTCCCTTCCTTTCATTAATTAGGTAGCTACCTGACTGCAGGAATGATGAGAAATGTACTAGACTGAATTTCCACTTATATCCCAAGATACACAGGCTAACTAGACCCAAAGAGAAACTAGACTGGTAGTCTTGAGAATCCAGAGGCCCTTTAAAGAACAGTTTAATATATAAACAGGAAACATCCAGAGGAGGATGACACTGGTAATTATCCAGTGTCTGGACCAGACACAAGGAAGGATGAGTACCAGACCTTTTTTGGCTTTGAGTCATTGTATAAAGAACAGCCTCTCTTGACACCCCATCTCTGAGTACCCATTTATTCAGAACTCCTCATTTTATTGCCCCAACCATAAGAACCCTCTTAATTCCCTTTCTGAGAAAAGAGCTCTGAGACAACAGAACATTCATATCCTCTAAGGAATGTGGAGAGAAGTTTCACTTACTGGAACAATGTCTGAACTCGAAGCGCAGGTGGGAGCCCCGGAACCGGTCAATGGGGATGGGCAATTTGATAATTTCTCCCCAGCGAGGACTATTACTGTGGTAGAGGACAAAGGAGTGGTAGGAACTCCTATTTGGCTCTCCTGAACCCAAGCTTATACAATCCTGGAAGAGAGAAGCAAAATAAAGTATGATCTTCCTGGAGGAAGCCCCTGGGTTTCCCTATGTCACTAGGACACGTTCTCTTTTGTGCAAGTCTTATTTTCTCACTGGGCCAAATCTACAAGATGAGAAAATTGATTTGACTTAAACTCAATACTTTTGGAAACAACTGTGTAAATGACATAAGGAATCAGCAGTCAAATGACATAAGGAATCAACAGTCAACAATGCGCTTTTTCCATGGGGCAGAAGTAACCATACACACTGTTCAATAAACTAGAGGGAAACTGAACAGTGTATCTGAATGACTAACATAGGCTCTTCATCCTCATTACTAAAGGAAACAACAAACTCCACAGAAGTCAACTGTATATAGCACTTTACCTAGTTAGAAAACTAATTAATATATAAAGTGGAGAGAGTCTGTTTTCTAATCTTCCTTACCACAATGTTGCACTGGCATTTTAGGTTGCCCTTGGCTGAATGCCTTTGGCTATAGACAAGGCAGACCAGATTTAACTTGACCCTTATTTCCAAATACTGCCATGAAGATGTAGTCCTAACTTCCTGGAAGACAGGAAGTTGTAGGCAATATAGTCAGGAGAAGCTCCCTATCTGCATAAGGGTAGTCTGAGCAGCTGACAGCTCTGATGGCCTTGGCATTATCCATGCAAACAATGGACACGCCTTAGTCTTTGAGGTGAGTTTTTTAAAATGAAACACAAATTGGTGCCTCTACCACCAATTAAACCATCTCCTCCATTTATTTCTAGCGTTGGGAGATGATTTTGACTAATTTTACCTATTTCCTTCTGTAAAATGTAGATAACCATTCCTGTTCTGCCTACTTCACAAGGCTATTGTCAACATACAGGAACAAGGTCTATAAAAGAGTGACTTGCCTTCTGTCAAGTGCTATGCAAATGATGGCTTGTTATTTGTCTTGATATGACATGACTTCACCATGACATGACTGAGGGAAATACTGACATACTGACAATGGAAAAACAGCACTCCAGGTCTTCACTTTGAATGAAGAGTGACAGAAGATATATTTGCATCCTTGTACTGGCATTGGCTGGAAATAATCTTTTAGAACCTGAGTCTGTTGTTCCTTGTCACAAAACTTGGTACCAGCAAGTGAGTGCCTAAGCCCCACCCTTGACCAAAGAGCAACTTTTTATTACCTTTATTAGCTTAAGGAACAGAAAGAGTAGGACCTAATAACAGTTACCAAAAGTAGGCAGCTTGATGCTAGACAGAATTGAAGAAAAAGTAACATGTAGGACACAACTAGAGGGAATAGGTCTAAATTGGAGCAGGAAGGATTGAGGTCAGACTGGGAAGAATTTCTAAAAAGGTTTTGTGACACGAAGTCATTATCAAAGCATGCTGCAGGGTTTCCTTGAAGAAAAGGCAGAGAATGCATACGCGATGATCTGAGCAGTCTGCCTAAGAATGGGTCTCTGAATAAAGTCCATAGACTGATTAGAATTATTATAGGATTAGCCTCCTTTCCAAACTGACTGGCAAGTCTTACCTTCAGTATTTCTCCATCTGCATAAAGCACATACATGGTCACTTCAATATTCTTTTGTACGCTCTTTCCCCCTCTCTCGAAATCCCCCTTCTCCAAGGTTAGGTACAGGTCATTGCGGATATCGCCTATGGGGAGAGAAATGTCATGTCTTCATGACCACAGAAGCCACACTGCCCTATTTGTATGGAGGACCAGGCTAGCACTGGGATCCTCTGGGGTTGAGGTGGGTGCTCAGAGCATTGCAAGCTTGGTTAATAACGGTGGACATTCTACTGATATCAGTGCAGCAGCACTCAGGGTGGTTAGTCAGGTGCTCTCTAAGTCTAAATTCTAAAGGTGTTCACCACACCTTGTCCAGGGTGGGAAAAAGTGAGTCAGAGAATCTTCTTTTGTATTACAGGTGACTACTCAGTCTCTCTACCCTCCAGGAGAATGGGTGAAATCTAAGCCTTCCAAAGGGGGAAGACTTTAGAATCAACAGGAGTAATATTTAATTATGTCTACTGCATAACTACTAATCACTCTGCCTTTTCCTCAAAAAAAAAAAAAAAAAAGGTTTCCTTTTTCTTTTATAGGTTTTCTTCTTTCCAACTCACAACCCTTCTGAGTCTGACTAGGGGATATACTACTTTTTCCTTCTGGAGGCTTAGCTCCAAATCCCATCCCTTGCTGGAGTGCCAGACAGAGGTCACTGGACTGTCATTTTTTTTCCTTCTGTGTTGCAAGTGCTCTGGAAGCAGATGACTTTCCAGAAGCACAGGTGCTAAAGAATTGGTGACAATCTGTTGTGCTCTTGTTCCTTCCCTGTGCTCTGACTTCTGCCCACTTTGCCAATATCTGCTGCTCGAGACTGGGCAGGAGAAGCCCAAACCACAAGCTGAAATGACCTAAGAAATGACCACATCTGCCTTTTTTAGGGGAATGGGATTGTCTATTCTTGTAGAAGAAGAGCTCATTTAGGCTGCTTTAAGCTTCTAAGTTTGTAACATGACCAGTTTTATTCATACATTCTAAAGAAGGTTATTTTGACTTTCAAAACAACAACAGCAGCAACAATAACAACAGCAACAACAACAATGTAAAGTCCCTTGGGAAAAAGAAGTTCAAAGGAAAAAAATGGTAAAGGAAAACATGTAAGGTCAAAGTGAAGATGTGCTAGCAGCATGAAGAATTCAACTGAGAGGTGACGGAAAGACTAACTTGCAAAGCAAGTCAATTCAGAACATTCTTTCTACCTCAGTTCTTAGCAAAACTGATACAGCTAAAAATGTTCATTACCTGGAATCACAATGACATAAACAGATACTGTTTTTGGTATGCAGGTAAGCTTTCTGCTTTGGTCAGATACATGATGATGGCTCTTTTTTCTACACAGGCTACCCTTCTGCTTGTGTAAGTGTCTTAGTGTCTCTTATGCATGAAACATGATAGACTAGAACTCTCATATATATTGGGCTTTGGAGGTTTTCATGACCAGACCTTCTATTCTTTAAGTGGCCTTACTATACTAGGAGTGCAGCCATGGTTATTTGGTTGCATAATGAAGTTCTCAATATACTTCAGCATAAGTGGGGGAAGAGCAGTCAATGAGAAGCAATTAATTATTCTCTCACAGCCCAGGGAACTTTCTCTAATGTGTGAAAAACATCTTGTTCCCCAAATAGCCCTGAGGCTACCATGAAGGGAAAGGAAAATATGTTTTGAAAATCACATACAAATGCAACTGACTGCTGAATAGGTAGGACAGCCTAGAGGGTGTTTATACTTGCAGTTCACATGGACTTCCCTCCTGGTTTGATAAAAGCCTCTACTTTGAATTTTCATGAGTCTGGACTTTAATCTGCCTCCTTTGGACATCTCTGCGTCCAACTCTGGGCCCTCCTAGCATATCATTAAAATAGCACTCAGGTGTGCAGGTAGGGTAGGAAAGGAAAGCAGAAGGGAAACTTAAATCAGTTTGCTACCATAAGGGCAGAAGCTGAATAAATCATTCCTGAAAGTAAAAGTCAAAATTAAATGGGAACTAAAGGCAATTGGTATTATAATGGGACAAATAAAAGTTGGTTACACCTTGAGTTTTTTTTTAAATTTCAGACAGAGAGAGAGAGAGAGAGAGAGAGAGACAGTATGAGCAGGGGAGGGTCAGAGAGAGAGGGAGTTACAGAATCTGAAGCAGGCTCCAGGCTCTGAGCTAGCTGTCAGCACATAGCCCGATGCGGGGCTCGAACCCGCGAACCATGAGATCATGACCTGAGCCGATTCTGGACGCTTAACCAACTGAGCTACCTAGGCACCCCAAATTTTTAACAACTGAAACAGACATCTTAGAGCCTTGTTTTGATAAAAGTCTTTTATTTACACATTAGCTCTTCTATGGAATTTAAATAATTATTAAATTTCTAGGCTGATTTGGCATAAAGTGAATAGTCTAGAGAATTTTAATGTCTAATCCTAAGAATAGGTACTTTGTTTAACTATTACTCTGATTTAAACCAGCACTCTCTAGAAGTTATTCTCAAGGTAATCCACATGACTTGTAAAAGCAGATACTGGCTACCAGCAATATTCTAGCCTGTATAAATATTTTAAATTTCCATGGCTCTACACAACAGTTAACCATAAATGAACATCTTTCAAATGAAACATGTAAGTTTTTCCTAGCAATATATGATACAGAATATTCATACAAAAGTGGGCATTATCTTGGAGACTGATGATGACAGAATTTGGCCCGTGTTGATTATATAGAGTGAGCCCATGGTTTCTGGGCAGCTCCTCTGGGGTATTTTAAATCAAAATGCCAATTTCAAATGGAAGGGCTGAGATAGATATTCCTACAGTTTTCATTCTTTTAAAATTTTCTATTTAAGCAGAATGCCTTTAGCGATATCTTGCTGAGACAATTTATCAATGCAAGTAAACATACCCTCTGAGTTACAGACTGAAGCAGCTTGATTTCATCAGATCTTTTGCTGCTCTTTATTTGGAGAACAGACTTGCCTAAACCAGAGCTATTCTCAGCAGAATAGGTATTAGGCCGCTTTATGGGTTGCAATTTTACAAATTATGGCCTCAATTTCGAGAACTGTGGTAGTTAATGTTGCTGGGGCCTTCTTGCCTAAAGCTCTCTGGGGGATCATTTAAATAGAGCTCTCTACTAATTCTCCTAGAACTAGGAGAAAACCCAAGAAGCAGCCAATGTGAAAGGCTCCTGGGATCTAATGACCCAGGCCTGGGTCAGATAGCCTCCAAGGTTCCCTGCTCTTCAGCTGTCCCTGAAGTTACATGTTACATGTTCACAAAGCCTATACTGGAATCATGCGTTTGGGTTAAGCCACTCTCTCCAGGAGGCTCCTATAAACTCTAGTGCCAGTTGCAAGGAAATATTACCAGGAGAGGGATGAGGACAGGCACATTACAATGAGGATGGGAAAGAGAAGGCCTCAGTAGTGGTTTGTGAGGTTTGCAGAACACTGGGTGGATGGCTGTATTCTAATCACCTAGGAAACTTAATAAAACTAGATTTCTAATATCTACCATTTGAGATTCCAGTTGGTCTTGGGTGGGGCTTGTGTACATACATTAAACAAAACCAAAAATCACCAGGCAATTCTGATGTTCTCCAGGGCTTAATGCCAGGGAGCCAGACTATGGGGGTTTGCTGGGAAGCTGCTGATGAATTTGGCTGGGTGTTGGAGGCTAGGTAGCTCTTAAGCATAACAGAGGAATGCTGAGAGGGATATGGAAGGGAGAGGTTTTTTGGCAGGATGTGGGAGCAGGTATTATTGAGGGCAACCCTGCCTCTTTTAGTAGATGTCCTCTGCTTCCCAAGGTTAGCAGAGAACCTAATAGCATCAGCAATGCCTTATATCTCTGAGTGTTTAGTGCTCAGTTGACATGCAACAGAGTTTCTTGAATGGAAAGATGAATGAGTGAGGTTGCTCTTGTATGAGGGCCTCAGAGTAGCCAGCTGTTAGTATAGCTGCTTGCCAGGGAACTAGGGACTTAAAAGTAGGCAGAGTTGGCAAACTTTTTCTGTAAGAAGCCAGATAGTAAATATTTTAGGCTTTTGGGGTCACAGAGGTCTCTGTTACATGTTCTTTGTTTTCACAACCCTTTTAAAATGTGAAAAAACATTCTTAGATGGGAGGTGGTATAAAAATAGGCTGCTGGCTGGATTTGGCCCAGGGACTATAGTTTCCTGATACCTGGCTTGGGTGTTTATGTGTCAAGAACAGTTTTACTATGCTGCAACTACACATCAAAAATACAGACTCTTGTAAGTCTATATAAGCAGCTGCTAGGAAGGAGCAAGGTAATGAACCTGAAACCACCTTATTATGTCAGGGATTGGCCTGAAACATTCTGGGGTCTTTATGGAGTGGGAAGTCTTAGAAGGAAAGTGTTCTTCAGCTATCAGAAATCTTAGGGGGCTGAAAGCACTGTGACAGAGCATCCAGCAGTGACAGAGAACTGGACATCTCACTGCCCAGGTGTGATCCTCTGAAGCCCTACATCCTAGTATGACACTGGAGAAACAAAGCTCACAGTGTGTTTGCACATCTCTTCTGAGAGCAGTCTCTGGAGAGGTTTCAGAACCTCTGAGGTCTGGCTTGGCCACCAGAGCATCTTCTAGCAACAGAATCTCCTGCCAGATATCCCAGATTTACTAGGAATTTTGGGGCTACATGGTTCTAGCCTATGTGGAATTCCATCCCAGGAGAAATAATCCAAGACAGCTGACACAGGTTTGGGTACTCAGTCTTATTTGGACTCTTTATTACATTCATGTTCCTTCTGTAGAAGTTAGTTATACATTAGGAGGCTTTGGGTTCAAGGATACTAGTATTTAACACTGTATTATTTATTTATACCTTATCTACTTCTAGATAGGATTAGGAGGAATAGTGCTTTCCTTCCCTTAAGACCATGTGAAACTAGAACTAACCTTCTCTCAGCAGACACAGCAGCCTGCTCAGGATGGCACCGATTTTATCTCTTGTAGAATAAGGTGAAATCCCCTGACAGCATCATGGAGATATGGAGACATTAACAACCATTCGACTTAGACAATTTCAGGCATATGACCAATGTTTTATTTTGTTGTAGTTTTTATTTTATTTTA